CACACGAGTGAGGGGGCAGCGCACACACGAAGTGAGGGGGCAGGACACACACGAGTGAGGGGGCAGCGCACACACGAGTGAGGGGGCAGGCACACACGAGTGACGCACACACGAGTGAGGGGCAGCGCACACACGACGTGAGGCAGGCACACACGAGTGAGGGGGCAGCGCACACACGAGTGAGGGGCAGGCACACACGAGTGAGGGCAGGACACACACGAGTGAGGGGGCAGGGCACACACGAGTGAGGGGACAGGGCACACACGAGTGAGGGGGCAGGGCACACACGAGTGAGGGGACAGGGACACACACGAGTGAGGGGGCAGGACACACACGAGTGAGGGACAGGACACACACGAGTGAGGGGGCAGGACACACACGAGTGAGGGGGGCAGCTGCAGCAGGAAGGGCATCTGGTGTAAAGCCTCTAAGTCGTCTGACTTTGTGTTTTTTTCCTGAAGTGGGATTTGAACTTTGTGTTTCCGCGAAATCAAACAAACGACTCCAGAAAGTGACTCACTACAGCTCAACTCATCACATTGATGTTTCACACTGTTCTGGGTCTGTTCTGGGGTCTGTTCTGGGTCTGTTCTGGGGTCTGTTCTGGGGTCTGTTCTGGGGTCTGTGGGTCTGTTCTGGGTCTGTTCTGGGGTCTGTTCTGGGGTCTGTTCTGGGGTCTGTTCTGGGGTCTGGGGTCTGTTGGGTCTGTTCGGTTCTGTTGGGTCTGTCTGTTCTGGGGTCTGTTCTGGGGTCTTCTGGGTCTTTGGGTTGTTCTGTTGTTGGTCTGTCTGGGGTTCTGTCTGTCTCTGTTGGGTCTGTTCTGGGGTCTGTTCTGGGTCTGTTCTGTTGGGTTCTGTCTTTCTGGGGTCTGTTCTGGGGTCTGTGGGGTCTGGGGTCTGTTCGGGGTCTGTTCGGGGTCTGTTCTGTTGGGGTCTGTTCTGGGGTCTGTTTCTGGGTCTGTTCTGTCTGTTCTGTTTCGGGGTCTGTTCTGTTGGGTCTGTCTGTTGGGTCTGTTCTGGGTCTGTTCGGGGTCTGTTCGGGGTCTGTTTCTGTTGGGTCTGTTCTGGGTCTGTTCTGGGGTCTGTTCGGGGTTCTGGGGTCTGTTCTGTTGGGTCTGTTCTGGGTCTGTTCTGGGTCTGTTCTGGGGTCTGTTCTGGGTTCTGTTCTGTCTTTCTGGGTCTGTTCTGGGTCTGTTCTGGGGTTTCTGGGGTCTGTTCTGGGGTCTGTTCTGGGTCTGTTCTGGGTCTGTTCTGGGTCTGTTCTGGGTCTGTTCTGTTCTGGGTCTGTTCTGGGGTCTGTTTCTGGGGTCTGTTCTGGGTCTGTTCTGGGTCTGTTCTGGGGTCTGTTCTGGGTCTGTTCTGGGGTCTGTTCTGGGTCTGTTCTGGGTCTGTTCTGGGTCTGTTCTGTCTGGGGTCTGTTCTGTTGGGTCTGTTCTGGTCTGTCTGTTCTGGGGTCTGTTCTGGGTCTGTTCTGGGGTTCTGGGGGTCTGTCTGTCTGTTCTGGGTCTGTTCTGGGTCTGTTCTGGGGTCTGTTCTGGGTCTGTTCTGGGGTCTGTTCTGTTCTGGGTCTGTTCTGGGTCTGTTCTGGGTCTGTTCTGGGGTCTGTTCTGGGTCTGTTCTGGGGTTCTGGGGTCTGTTCTGGGGTCTGTTCTGGGGTCTGTTCTGGGTCTGTTCTGTTCTGGTTCTGGGTCTGTTCTGGGTCTGTTCTGGGGTCTGTTCTGGGTCTGTTCTGGGTCTGTTCTGGGTCTGTTCTGGGGTCTGTTCTGGGTCTGTTTCTGGGGTCTGGTTCTGGGGTCTGTTGTTCTGGGGTCTGTTCTGTTCTGGTCTGTTCTGGGTCTGTTCTGGGGTCTGTTCTGGGTCTGTTCTGGGTCTGTTCTGTCTGGGTCGGTCTGTTCTGGGTCTGTTCTGGGTCTGTGGGGTCTGGGGTCTGTTCTGGGTCTGTTCTGGGGTCTGGTTCTGGGGTCTGTTCTGGGTCTGTTCTGGGGTCTGTTCTGGGGTCTGTCTGTTCTGGGTCTGTTCTGGGGTCTGTTCTGGGGTCTGTTCTGGGGGTCTGTTCTGGTCTGTTCTGGGGTCTGTTCTGGGGTCTGTTCTGGGGTCTGTTCTGGGTCTGTTCTGGGTCTGTTCTGGGTCTGTTCTGGGGTCTGTTCTGGGTCTGTTCTGGGTCTGTTCTGGTTTAAATTCTCTTTTGTTTGGAGCTGGACTTGATCCTCTTTAAATCCTCCTTTAAATAAAAACTTCTTCCTGTTTAAAATGGAAAACTTCAAATCCAGACGCCAGAGCAGAAAACAGACCAGAGGAGGAACAGACGCTCCGACTCTCGGGCCTTTTAGACACACTGGGTTTCAGACTCTGCTTTTAGACTCTTTTTTTAGACTCTGTTTAAAAACTTTTTTAGACTCTTAGGGGTCTTAGACTCTGTTTTTGACGACTCTGAACTCGCTGAACCTGAATCGTACTTTCAGTCAAAATGTGTTTTTTTCTGCGTCTTTCTCTCTGACCTTTGACGTTTCTTTCTAAATAATTATACAAAATTCAACGACAGTGAAACGTGAAAGATCTGAAACAGCAGATCACCTAAAAAACATTTAAACCAACTCTGCACGAACTGAGATTAAAGCTGCAATGAGTCACTTTTCAGGTGGAGGGTTTGTCAAAATGACTGTGATTGGCAGATTTCTCTGTGAGTGTTTGTGATTGGTTGATTTCTCACCCCCATGGCGGCGAAGACGATGGCGAAGTTGTCGGCGCTGTAGTCCATCACGTCTTTGGACTTCTGCACCAGACCGGCCTGACGACAAATCTGCGCCGCGATCTGGAAACGCCACAAAACACAACGTCAAAAATACAACGAAGAACGAAATCAAAAGAAATCTAGAAAACTCGGACGAGACGAAGTCGACTGAAGAGCAGAGACACGAGATGAAGAAGAGACACGAGATGAAGAAGAGACACGAGATGAAGAAGAGACACGAGATGAAGAAGAGACACGAGATGAAGAAGAGACACGAGATGAAGAAGAGACACGAAGAGAAGAAGAGACACGTGATGAAGAAGAGACACGAGATGAAGAAGAGACACGAGATGAAGAAGAGACACGAGATGAAGAAGAGACACGAGATGAAGAAGAGACACGAGATGAAGAAGAGACACGTGATGAAGAAGAGACACGTGATGAAGAAGAGACACGAGATGAAGAAGAGACACGAGATGAAGAAGAGACACGAGATGAAGAAGAGACACGTGATGAATGAAGAGACACGAGAAGAAGAGACACGAGATGAAGAAGAGACACGAGATGAAGAAGAGACACGAGATGAAGAGAGACACGAGATGAAGAGAGACACGTGATGAAGAAAGACACGAGATGAAGAAGAGACACGTGATGAAGAAGAGACACGAGATGAAGAAGAGACACGAGATGAAGAAGAGACACGAGATGAAGAAGAGACACGAGATGAAGAAGAGACACGTGATGAAGAAGAGACACGAGATGAAGAAGAGACACGAGATGAAGAAGAGACACGAGATGAAGAAGAGACACGAGATGAAGAAGAGACACGTGATGAAGAAGAGACACGTGATGAAGAAGAGACACGAGATGAAGAAGAGACACGAGATGAAGAAGAGACACGAGATGAAGAAGAGACACGAGATGAAGAAGAGACACGAGATGAAGAAGAGACACGAGATGAAGAAGAGACACGAGATGAAGAAGAGACACGAGATGAAGAAGAGACACGAGATGAAGAAGAGACACGAGATGAAGAAGAGACACGTGATGAAGAAGAGACACGTGATGAAGAAGAGACACGAGATGAAGAAGAGCAGAGACACGAGAAACAGACGACTTCAGATTCGTCCACAAAATCCATCGATGAACATCAAACGACTTTAAATAAATTCTTGTGGCGAAGTCAAAAACAGAACGAGAACACTCCTGTTTGTCAGGGATTTTTGGTCCCACTTCAGTCCCGGTTTAGACCCTGGTTCAGATCCTGTTTTTAATCTCGGTCTAGTCCTGGTTTACACCCTGTTTTAGTCCTGTTTTAGACCTGGTTTCAGTCTTGTTTAAGTCCTGGTTTAGTCCTGGTTTAGTCCTGGTTTAGACCCTGGTTTAGACCCTGTTTCAGTTTTTCCTGATTTAGTCCTGGTTTAGACCTGTTAGTCCTGGTTTAGTCCTGGTTTAGACCTGTTTCAGTCCTGATTTAGTCCTGGTTTAGTCCTGGTTTAGACCTGGTTTAGAAGTTCCCTGTTTAGTCCTGGTTTAGTCCTAGTTTAGACCCTGTTTCAGTCTTTTTTCAGTCTTGTTTTAGTTTTAGTCCCTTGTTTTAGTCCTGGTTTAGTCCTGTTTCAGTCCTGTTTTTAGTCTTGTTTTAGTCCTGGTTTAGTCCTGGTTTAGTCCTGGTTTAGTCCTGGTTTAGACCTGGTTTAGACCTGGTTTAGACCTGGTTTAGACCTGGTTTAGTCCTGGTTTAGACCCTGTTTCAGTCTTTTTTCAGTCTTGTTTTAGTCCTGGTTTAGACCCTGATTTAGTCCTGGTTTAGTCCTGTTTCAGTCCTGTTTCAGTCCTGTTTTAGTCCTGTTTTAGTCCTTTATTTCCGTCCATATTGTCGCTCGTCTGTGTTTTCTCTCGTGTTTTGTTCGAGCCTCTTGAGTTTTATGGATTTTCTCTCGACTCACGCGAAGGTCACTGGCTTTTATTTTGAAGGTCACAGACGCCAAACGGGTCTTTTATTTTGGCGAGTGTACAGGAAGTGACAAAGCAGGTGTGCCTCGGGTTCAGGGCCGCGGCGTCGAACGATTCTGAAGAGACGACGAGAAAACGGTTTGTGAAAAGCTCTGAAACACGGGTTAAGCACACGACGAAACGAACAAAAGACCGAGAGGAACGAGAGAGAAACAAGAGAGAAACGAGAGAAACAGGAGAGAAACAAGAGAGAAACACGAGAGAGAAACGAGAGAGAAACGAGAGAAACGAGAGAAACGAGAGAAACGAGAGAAACGAGAGAAACGAGAGAGAAACAAGAGAGAAACACGAGAGAAACGAGAGGAACACGAGAGAGAAACACGAGAGAAACGAGAGAAACGAGAGAGAAACACGAGAGAAACGAGAGAGAAACGAGAGAGAAACACGAGAGAAAACGAGAGAGAAACGAGAGAGAAACACGAGAGAGAACACGAGAGAAACGAGAGAGAGAGAAACGAGAGAGAAACACGAGAGGAACGAGAGAGAAACACGAGAGAGAAACACGAGAGAGAAACACGAGAGAAACGAAACGAGAGAGAAACACGAGAGGAACGAGAGAGAAACACGAGAGAAACGAGAGAGAAACACGAGAGGAAACGAGAGGACGAGAGAAACGAGAGAGAAACACGAGAGGAACGAGAGAAAACGAGAGAGAAACACGAGAGAGAAACGAGAGAGAAACACGAGAGGAACAGAGAGAGAAAACACGAGAGAGAAACGAGAGAAACACGAGAGAAACACGAGAAGAAACAGAGAGAAACACGAGAGAAACGAGAGGAACACGAGAGGAACAGAGAAACACGAGAGGAACAAGAGGAACACGAGAGAAACGAGAGAGAAACACGAGAGAAACGAGAGAAACACGAGAGAGAAACACGAGAGGAAACACGAGAGAAACAAGAGAGAGAACACGAGAGAGAAACACGAGAGAAACACGAGAGAGAACACGAGAGAAACACGAGAGGAACACGAGAGGAACGAGAGAAACGAGAGAGAGAGGAACACGAGAGGAACGAGAGAGAACACGAGAGAAACAAGAGAGAAACACGAGAGGAACACGAGAGGAACACGAGAGGAACACGAGAGGAACACGAGAGAACACGAGAGGAACACGAGAGGAACACGAGAGAAAACGAGAGAAACACGAGAGAAACACGAGAGGAACACGAGAGAAACGAGAGAGAAACGAAACGAGAGAAACACGAGAGGAACACGAGAGGAAACGAGAGAAACACGAGAGGAACACGAGAGGAACACGAGAGGAACACGAGAGAGAACACGAGAGAAACACGAGAGAAACACGAGAGGAAACACGAGAGAACACGAGAGGAAAACACGAGAGGAACACGAGAGAAACACGAGAGAGAAACGAGAGAAACACGAGAGGAACACGAGAGGAACACGAGAGGAACACGAGACGAGAGGAACACGAGAGAGAAACGAGAGAAACACGAGAGAGAGGAACACGAGAGAAACGAGAGGAACACGAGAGGAACACGAGAGAAACACGAGAGAAACGAGAGAAACGAGAGAGAAACACGAGACGAGAGAGAGAGAACACGAGAGAGAGGAACGAAGAAACGAGAGAGAACACGAGAGGAACACGAGAGGAAGAGAGAGAAACACGAGAGAAACGAGAGGAACACGACGAGAGAACACGAGAGGAACACGAGAGAAACACGAGAGAGAACACGAGAGAACACGAGAGAAACAGAGAGAGAAACACGAGAGAACACGACGAGAGAAACACGAGAGGAACACGAGAAGAGAGAGAGAAACGAGAGGAAACGAGAGAGAACACGAGAGAAACGAGAGAGAAACACGAGAGAGAAAACACGAGAGAACACGAGAGAACACGAGAGAAAAGAGACGAGAGAGAACACGAGAGAAACACGAGAGGAAACGAGAGGAACGAGAGGAACACGAGAGAAACACGAGAGAAACAGAGAGGAACACGAGAGGAACACGAGAGAGAAACGACGAGAGAAACGAGAAGAACACGAGAGAACACGAGAGAACACGAGAGGAAACGAGAGGAACACGAAGGAACACGAGAGAGAAAACACGAGAAACAGAGAAAACGAGAGGAACACGAGAGACGAGAGGAAACACGAGAGGAACACGAGAGGAAACGAGAGAAAACGAGAGAAGAGAGAGGAACACGAGAGGAAACGAGAGAACACGAGAGAAACACGAGAGAGGGAACGAGAGGAACACGAGAGAAACGAGAGGAACACGAGAGGAACACGAGAGAAACACGAGAGAAACACGAGAGAAACGAGAGAAACACGAGAGAAACACGAGAAGAAACAAGAGAGAACACGAGAGAAAACACGAGAGGAAACACGAGAGAAACACGAGAGACACGAGAGAGGAACGAGAGAGGAACACGAGAGGAACGAGAGAAACGAGAGAGGAACACGAGAGGAACACGAGAGAGAACGAGAGAGAGAAACACGAGACGAGAGAGAACACGAGAGAGAGGAACACGAGAGGAACACGAGACGAAACACGACGAGAGGAACACGAGAGGAACACGAGAGAAACGAGAGGAACGACGAGAGGAACACGAGAGGAACACGAGAGAAACACGAGAGAAACACGAGAGAACACGAGAGGAAACACGAGAGAAACACGAGAGGAACACGAGAGGAACACGAGAGGAACACGAGAGAACACGAGAGGAACACGAGAGGAACGAGAGGAACACGAGAGGAACACGAGAGGAAACACGAGAGAAACACGAGAGGAACACGAGAGGAAACACGAGAGAAACACGAGAGAAACACGAGAGGAAACACGGAACACGAGAGAACACGAGAGGAACACGAGAGGAAACGAGAGAGAGAAACAGAGAGGAACACGAGAGAAACGAGAGGAACACGAGAGGAAACAGAGAGAAACACGAGAGGAACGAGAAACGAGAGGAAACGAGAGAGGAACACGAGAGGAACGAGAGAAACGAGAGGAACACGAGAGGAACACGAGAGAAACGAGAGAGAAACGAGAGAGGAACACGAGAGGAACGAGAGAAACGAGAGGAACACGAAGAAACAAGAGAAACACGAGAGGAACACGAGAGGAACACGAGAGAAACGAGAGAGAGAGAGAGAACACGAGAGAACACGAGAACAGAGAGAAACACGAGAGGAACACGAGAGGAACACGAGAGAAACGAGAGGAAACACGAGAGGAACACGAGAGGAACACGAGAGGAACACGAGAGAAACACGAGAGAAACACGAGAGAAACGAGAGGAACACGAGAGGAACACGAACAGAGAAACGAGAGAAACGAGAGGAACACGAGAGAGGAACACGAGAGGAACGAGAGAAACACGAGAGAGGAACACGAGAGGAACACGAGAGAAACACGAGAGGAACACGAGAGGAACACGAGAGAAACGAGAGGAACAGAGAGGAACACGAGAGAAACACGAGAGGAACACGAGAGGAAACGAGAGGAAACACGAGAGGAACACGAGAGAACACGAGAGAACGACGAGGAACACGAGAGAACACACACGAGAGAACACGAGAGAAACACGAGAGGAAACACGAGAGGAAACACGAGAGGAAACGAGAGGAACACGAGAGGAACACGAGAGGAAACACGAGAGAAACACGAGAGGAACACGAGAGAAACACGAGAGGAACACGAGAGGAAACACGAGAGAAACACAAGGAGAGAAACACGAGAGGAACACGAGAGAGAGGAAACACGAGAGAGAACACGAGAGAACAACGACGAGAGGAACACGAGAGGAACACAAGAGAGAGAACACGAGAGAAACAACGAGAGAAGAGAGAAACACGAGAGGAAACACGAACACGAGGAACACGAGAGAGAAACACGAGAGAAACACGAGAGACACGAGAGAAACACGAGAGAGAGAACACGAGAGGAACACGAGAGGAACACACACGAAGAGGAGAAACACACGAGAGAGAAACACGAGAGGAACACGAGGAACACGAGAGAGAACACGAGAGGAAACACGAGAGGAAACGAACACGAGAGAACACGAGAGGAACACGAGAGAGAGAAACACGAGAACACGAGAGAAACGAGAGAAACACGAGAGAGAGAAACGAGAGGAAACACGAGAGGAACACGAGAGGACACACGAGAGAGAAACACGAGAGGAACACGAGAGAAACACGAGAGGAAACACGAGAGAAACACGAGAGACGAGAAACGAGAGAACACGAGAGAACACGAGAGAACACAGAGAGAGGAACACGAGAGGAACACGAGAGGAACGAGAGGAAAACGAGAGGAACACGAGAGAGAACACGAGGAGAAACACGAGAGGAACACGAGAGGAACACGAGAGAAACGAGAGAAACGAACGAGAGGAACACGAGAGGAACACGAGAGAGAACACGAGAGAAACACGAGAGGAACACGAGAGGAACACGAGAGAAACGAGAGGAACACGAGAGAACACGAGAGAGAACACGAGAGGAAACACGAGAGAGAACACAGGAACACGAGAGAACACGAGAGAACACGAGAGGAACACGAGGAGGAACACGAGAGGAACACGAGAGAGAACACGAGAGAAACGAGAGAGGAACACGAGAGGAAACACGAGAGAAAACACAGAGAAACACGAGAGGAACACGAGAGGAACACGAGAGGAACACGAGAGGAACGAGAGGAACACGAGAGGAACACGAGAGAACACGAGAGAAACGAGAGAAACACGAGAGAAACACGAGAGAAACACGAGAGGAACACGAGAGGAACACGAGAGAACACGAGAGAACACGAGAGAAACACGAGAGGAACACGAGAGGAACACGAGAGGAACACGAGAGGAACACGAGAGAAACGACGAGAGGAACACGAGAGGAACACGAGAGGAAACACGAGAGAGGAACACGAGAGGAACACGAGAGAGAACACGAGAGGAACACGAGAGAAACGAGAGAGGAACACGAGAGGAACACGAGAGGAACACGAGAGAAAAGAGGAACACGAGAGGAACACGAGAGAAACGAGAGGAACACGAGAGGAACGAGAGGAACACGAGAGGAACACGAGAAGGAACACGAGAGGAACACGAGAAACGGAGAAACACGAGACGAGAGAAACACGAGAGAAACACGAGAGGAACACGAGAGGAACACGAGAGGAACACGAGAGAGAAACACGAGAGGAACACGAGAGAAACGAGAGAGAAACAAGAGAGGAACACGAGAGAAACACGAACACGAGAGAAACGAGAGAACACGAGAGGAAACACGACAGGAAACACGAGAGAGAACACGAGAGGAACACGAGAGGAACACGAGAGGAAACACGAGAGAACACACGAGAGAACACGAGAGGAACACGAGAGGAACACGAGAGGAACACGAGAGAGAACACGAACACGAGAGAACACACGAACACGAGAGGAACACGAGAGAAACACGAGAGGAACACGAGAAACACGAGAGGAACACGAGAGAAACGAGAGAGAAACGAGAGAGGAACACGAGAGGAACGAGAGAAACGAGAGAGGAACACGAGAGGAACACGAGAGGAACACGAGAGAAACACGAGAGAAACACGAGAGGAAACACGAGAGAAACACGAGAGAAACACGAGAGGAACACGAGAGGAACACGAGAGAAACGAGAGAGGAACACGAGAGGAACACGAGAGAAACGAGAGGAACACGAGAGGAACACGAGAGAACACGAGAGAACACGAGAGGAAACACGAGAGAAACACGAGAGAAACAGAGAGAGGAAACACGAGAGAAACACGAGAGGAACACGAGAGGAACACGAAACAGAGAAACAAGAGAGAGAACACGAGAGAAACACGAGAGGAACACGAGAGGAATGAGAGGGAACACGAGAGGAACAGAGAGAACACGAGAGAAAACAGAGAAACACAGAGAAACGAGGAAACGAGAGGAACAAGAGAAACACAGAGAAACAGAGAGGAACACGAGGGAACACGAGAGGAACAACGAGAACCAGACAGAGGAGAGGGGAGTAGTAGGAAGAGAGAGAACACGAGAGAAAGAGAGGAAACACGAGAGGAACACGGAGGACACGAGAGAACACGAGAGAGAAACAGAGGAACACGAGACGAGGAAACGAGAGAAACGAGAGAGAAACCACGAGAGGAACACGAGAGGAACACGAGAGAAAACGGAGAGAACACGAGAGAAACGAGAGCTGCTCCTCCACGAGAGGAACACGAGAGGAACACGAGAGAAACGGAGAAACTGAGAGGAGGAACACAGAGGAGAAACGAGAGGAACACGGAGGACCAGAGGACTGAGAGGAACACCTCAGGTGAGAGGAACTGAGGAACCTGGGGGAAACGAGTCCCGAGGAACCGAGAGAAAACGAGAGAAACACGAGAGGAAATGTAGTATTTTATAATAGTTTTTAAAGTTCCTGCTGAAGCGTGAGTCAGTGACTGAAACAGAAGGTCATGTGACCCAGGAGGAAGTGACACGTTCATACACAAGAGTCTGTTTCACTTGAACCTCGTTTCCGTGGGGATTATTACGTTTGGATTTGGACATTTGGACTCAAATAAAACTGAAAATCAAAACAGCAACAGACGCACAATTCCAGAGGCCCAGACGTGTCATTTATGGTTTATGTGATAAATCTGTGCACTTCAAGGGACACAGACGCTCAGAACATCGACCGTTTGGACTCAACTCACTCTGGTAAAGTTTGGACCAATCAAAACAGACGGAGCGCAGGAGTTTGGACCTAAATAAAGTTCCTGTTGGACACTTGTTTTTTCCCTGTATCAGAAAACGCCGGAAATCTGCTCGGAAAATCCACAACTGTCAGATTTTCAAGGGGAAAAATAGAAGTTTGTATCTTTGATATAAAACATATTCCAGACTGTTGGTCTGGACGGGTTAAAGCCTCTGGTATAATACTCCTTACTAGGGATGGTCATGATTAATCGATTATTCGATAATTGATCATTAAGAATTTCATTGATTCCGTTGATTTTAATGGACAAACTGAATGTATGTGTGTGTGTCGTGACCAAACAGGTGTGTACATGTGTCTCTGCATCAGAAGGAGCGAGACACAAACAGTGGGTCAGTCTGTAACGAACCGAAGCACAAATGTGGATTTAACCAGGATTTGTAGAAGAAATTCCACACTTTCCGTTGCGTTGGGACAAGTGTGAGTCCATGTGCACAGTGGATAAAGCAGCACATATGTTTCTGTGTCCAGTGGGAAAAAGTTTTTCCAGGTGAGAGTCGCTCAATGTGGATGACGAGGCCCCGCCCCCCTCCCCCCGTACGCTGTCCTGGTTTTGACAAACACAAATCTGGTCACACTGACCTGTATTCACCTGAGTCATGTCTTTTAATCCAACACAAGTTGAACCACATCAGCGACACAAGAGCTGGAGTTTTATCTTCACTTAGTTTATGTAAATTAGTGATGTGGTTTTAAGTTTTGTTTCTGTGAGATTTGAACAAAACTGAATTAAACACATTATAATGTCAAACAGCTGATGTGGATCTAGAGTCGTTATGTTTATATGTCGTAAAGTTGAATTTATTGATGCAGATTAGTGCAGATAGTAATAATAATGATGATCATTTAATAGAAAAACGTTAATGATTAATCAATAATCGATCGTTAATTCTTCCGACGATCGATTAAGAACATTTCATCCAATGCCCGTCACTACTCCCTACAGTACCTCGTTGTGTGGGAGTCCGGCGGCGGAGAAGATGGGGATCTTCTGTCCTCGGGCGATGCTGTTCATGCCGTCGATGGCGGAGATGCCCGTCTGGATCATCTCCTCGGGGTAAATCCTGCACTGGGGGTTTATGGGCTGACCTGAAACCAACAAACCACAGATCAGAGGATTTCAGACTGTCACAAATCATTGTGATAAGATTCATGATGTTAATCGTCTGAAGAAGTTTATACTTGAGTAATCAGATTACTCCAGAGTTCAGCTCGTGATCAGATTTCTGATCATCTTACAGACGTGTGAGTTTGTCGGTTTATGTTTCAGATTCTGTCGTTTCTGAAAATCTCCACGTGAAACTAAAAGTTCCGGCTCGTCTCTGCGCAGGGAAATAAACTAAAGGGAGATTTATTTATTACTTTGGTCAGAAATACAATGTGTCCTGAAGGAGCTTTTCTAAGGAGACAAAGAGCTCAGGGTGCGAGGAAACGACACGCGGCAATAATGAACAGATTAGACTTTAAGTAGAAGAGATGGAGGCATCTGCTTCTACCTCCTCCTCAGAGACCAGAGCATTAACGGATAAAAGCCCTAATTTACAAGCTCCAACTGAGACCGACCGGCCAACCACTCTGCCACACGCACCGGGAGGACGCGGCGGGAGGACGGACGCCGGGAGGAGGCGGGAGGACGGACGCCGGGAGGACAGACGCCGGGAGGACAGACGCACCGGGAGGACAGACGCACCGGGAGGACGGACGCCGGGAGGACGGACGCCGGGAGGACGGACGCCGGGAGGACAGACGCACCGGGAGGACGGACGCCGGGAGGACGGACGCCGGGAGGACGGACGCCGGGAGGACGGACGCCGGGAGGACGGACGCCGGGAGGACGGACGGGCACCGGGAGGACAGACGCCGGGAGGACGGACCGGGAGGACAGACGCACCGGGAGGGACGCGGGACGGGGAGGACGGACGCCGGGAGGACGACGACGCGGGAGGACAGACGGACGCCGGGAGGACGGACGCCGGGAGGACAGAGGCAGGACCGGGAGGACGGACGCCGGGAGGACGGACGCCGGGGAGGACAGACGGAGCCGGGAGGACAGCGCCGGGAGGACGGACGCACCGGGGAGGACGGACGCGGGAGGACGGGAGGACGCACCGGGAGGAACGGACGCCGGGGACGGACCGGACGCCGGGAGGACGGACGCCGGGAGGACCGGGAGGACGCCGGGAGGACGGGAGGACGGACGCCGGAGGACGGACGCCGGGAGGACAGACGCCGGGAGGACAGGACGCACCGGGAGGACACCGGGAGGACGCCGGGAGGACGGACGCCGGGAGGACGGACGCCGGGAGGACGGACGCCGGAGGACGGAGAGGACAGACGCCGGACGGAGCCGGGAGGACGGACGCCGGGAGGACAGACGCCGGGAGGACGGACGCCGGGACGGACGCCGGGAGGACAGGCGCCGGGAGGACGGACGCCGGGAGGACAGACGCCGGGAGGACAGGACGGCGCCGGGACGCCGGGAGGACGGACGCCGGGAGGACGGACGCCGCGGGAGGACGGACGCGGGAGGACGGACGCCGGGAGGACGGACGGCGGGGAGGACGGACGCGGAGGACGCCGGGAGGACGGACACCGGGGGAGGAACACCGGGAGGACAGACGCACCGGGAGGACGGACGCCGGGAGGAGGACGGACACCGGGAGGACAGACGCACCGGGAGACGACGGACGCCGGGAGGAGACGACGACCGGGAGGACGGACACCGGGAGGACGGACACCGGGAGGACAGACGCACCGGGAGGACGGACGCCGGGGAGGACGGACACCGGGGGAGGACGAGACGACGCCGGGAGGACGGACGCCGGACGACCGGGAGGACGGGACGCCGGGGAGGACGGACGCCGGGAGGACAGACGCGGACCGGGAGGACGGACGCCGGGAGGACGGGCGCGGGAGGACGGGCGCCGGAGGACGGGAGGACGCCGGGAGGACGGGCGCCGGCGGGGGAGGGAGGCGCCGGGAGGACGAGGACGCCGGAGGACAGGCGGCGGGAGGACGGGGCGGCGGGAGGACGGCGGCGGGAGGACAGGACGGCGGGAGAGGAGGACGCCGGGAGGACAGGCGCCGGGAGGACAGGCGCCGGGAGGACAGGCGCCGGGAGGACAGGCGGCGGGAGGACAGGCGGCGGGAGGACAGGCGCCGGGAGGACGCCGGGAGGACGCGCCGGGACGGGAGGGCGCCGGGAGGACAGGCGCCGGGAGGACAGGCGCCGGGAGGACAGACGGGACATCAGGACACCAGGACGTCAGGACGTCAGGACAGACAGAAGCTCCATCGTTCCTCAGAACATTTTCCGGTTGGATTCAGGAGCCTCGATTTGTCAATTTCCATTTTTTGTCCCAAATCAAAACCTGAACATTAATAATCGACCAATCAGTCTGTCTCCGTCTCCGTCCCCGTCTCCGTCCCCGTCTCCGGGACTGACACCAGGACTGACACCGGGACAGGGACTGAGACCAGGACTGTCTCCATTTTCCAGTCCCGGCCTCAGTCCCAGTCCTTGTCTCCGGTCCCGGCCTCAGTGCTTGTCTCTGTCTCTGTCTCTGTCCCTGTCCCGGCATCCGTCCTGGTCTCTTGTCCATGTCTCAGTCTCTGGTCTCTGTCCTCCGCGAGTCGATGGTTTTTGATTTTGGCGAGGGGAGTGTGACGAACTGACTCGACGCAAAAAGACGACAAAAACTTTCAGAGGCGATAAAAACAGAGGGACCGAACTCCAAAACGTTCTTGAAGACGTGGACACCTGCAGGTTCTACTCAGATGGACAAGTTTAAATCTTGTTCAAGTGTCGTTGACGAGGTGTAAATTCATCTGAGCTCAACAGTCTGGATTTTACTGTTCACACATTTACACAGAAGAACATGAAGCTGCAAACCAACGCCACAAACCTCCTCAGCGTGAGAAGAGGAGAGGCTAACCACTCTGCCGCTCTTACCCATGATGTCCAGATAATCCTCGGCCAGGACGCTGGGGCCTCGGTCGATGGGTTTTCCAGAACCGTTAAAAACTCGACCTGAAACACAAACCACACAAACCATTAAAACCACAGAAACTTCACTGAACTTCTGCCAAAAACTCATCACGTTCAGGTTCAGGTTCAACTGGATCATTCAAACAGGACTGAATGTTTTGCCCAAGGACACAACAACAGCCTCCTCCAGATCAGGAAGAAGAATGATCAACATCGAGAATCAGACACTAATCGATTCTAAACCCAGTATCGAAACCAGATCCTCGTTTTCCTCAAGTCTGGATCCAAACAAAATCCCACTGACAGAACAGAACCTTTAGAACCTTTAGAACCTTTACAACGATCTGGAACTGGATCAGAACAATATGAGCACATGGACCTGGTTTAGACCTGGTTTAGACCTGGTTCAGTCCTGGTTTAGTCCTGGTTCAGTCCTGGTTTAGACCTGGTTTAGTCCTGGTTTAGTCCTGGTTTAGTCTGGTTTAGTCCTGGTTTAGACCTGGTTTATCTGGTTTAGTCCTGGTTTAGTCCTGGTTTAGTCCTGGTTTAGTCCTGGTTTAGTCCTGGTTTAGTCCTGGTAGTCCTGGTTAGTCCTGGTTCAGTCCTGGTTCAGTCCTGGTTTAGTCCTGGTTTAGTCCTGGTTTAGTCCTGGTTTAGTCCTGGTTTAGTCCTGGTTTAGTCCTGGTTTAGTCCTGGTTCAGTCTGGTTTAGTCCTGGTTTAGTCCTGGTTAGTCCTGGTTTAGACCTGGTTTAGTCCTGGTTTAGTCCTGGTTCAGTCCTGGTTTAGACCTGGTTTAGTTAGTCCTGGTTTAGTCCTGGTTCAGTCCTGGTTTCAGTCCTGGTTTAGTCCTGGTTCAGTCCTGGTTTAGTCCTGGTTTAGTCCTGGTTCAGTCCTGGTTTAGTCCTGGTTCTGGTTTAGTCCTGGTTCAGTCCTGGTTTAGTCCTGGTTCAGTCCTGGTTTAGTCCTGGTTCAGTCCTGGTTCAGTCCTGGTTCAGTCCTGGTTCAGTCCTGGTTTAGAACAGAACAGTAGATTTTTCCGTTTCAAGTGAAAACAGGAGATTGTTGATTTTTTTTTTATCTTTACGGTGGCTCAGCCGCAGTATCCAGAGTCTGTATCGTATCGTGAGTATCGTATCGTGAGTATCGTATCGTGAGTATCGTACGGTATCGTATCGTGAGTATCGTACGGTATCGTGCGGTGGGAGAACCCGGCTGGTGGACGTGTCGTCGGTCGATGTTTTTGTGGATAAACAGATTTGTTGAGATTCAAACAAAGACGCGTCTCGACTCTTCAGTTTGAACAGAGTCCAGAGCTTTAATTAGTCTGATCCAAACAAACAGCTTTAACACAAGACCTTCCCCCTCCTCCCTCCATCCTCCTCCCTCCATCCTCCTCCATCCTCCTCCATCCTCCTCCTCCTCCTCCTCCTCCTCCATCCTCCTCCCTCCCCTCTCCTCTCCCTCCATCCTCCCTCCATCCTCCCCTCCATCCTCCCTCCATCCTCTCTCCATCTCCTCCTCCTCCATCCTCCCTCCATCCTCCCTCCATCATCCCTCCATCCTCCTCCCTCCATCCTCCTCCCCTCCATCCTCCCTCCATCCTCTCTCTCCCTCTCCTCCCTCCTCCTCCTCCATCCTCCTCCCTCCTCTCCATCCTCCTCCTCCTCCATCCTCCTCCATCCTCCTCCTCCTCTCTCCTCCTCCTCCTCTCCTCCCTCCTCCTCCTCTCCTCCATCCTCCCTCCTCCTCCTCCTCCTCTCCTCCTCTCCTTCCTCTCCTTCCTCCCTCCATCCTCCTCCTCTCTCTCCCTCCATCCTCCCTCTCTCTCCCATCCTCCTCCAATCTCCATCCCCTCCTCCATTCCATCCTCCCTCCATCCATCCTCCATCCTCCATCCCTCCATCCTCTCCTCCTCTCTCCCTCCTCCTCCTCCCTCCTCCCTCCCTCCCTCCATCCCTCCCTCCATCCTCCCTCCTCTCTCTCCATCCTCCCTCCTCTCTCCTTTCCATCCTCCCTCCGTCCTCTCTCTCTCCTCCCTCTTCCTTCTCCTCTCCTCCCTCCCTCCATCCCTCCCATCCTCCATCTCTCTCTTCCTCTCTCTGTCTCTCTCTCATCGCCCCTCCTCCTCCTCTTCATCTCTTTTTACTTCTTTTGAAAGAGTTCTCTGCCTAATTATCTCACTGAAGCCCAAGGCCTCCTCTCTCTCTCTCCTCTCTCTCTCTCCTCTCCTCTCTCTCCTCTCTCCCTCCTCTTCCCTCCATCTCTCTCTCTCTCTCTCCTCGCCGTTTTAAAAAGAGCTTTTTTTTTTGCCTGATTATCTCAATTTTTCCTAAGGCCGCAGCCCTGTCCTCTCTCTTCTCTCTTCTCCCTTCTCTCTCTCCTCTCTCCATCCTTCTCTTTCTCTCCTTTTTCACTTGATTTTCTCGTTTCTGTCCAAGGCTGCGTCTCTCTCCCTCTCCTCTCTCTCCGTTCTCTCTCTTCTTCTTCTCTCCGTCCGTCTTTAGAGTCTTTCCTCCGTCTGTGTGGTTGTGTCCAAGGCCGTCGCCGTCGGTGTGTGCGTCTCTTGTTTGTGAAGTGTCATTAAAACGGGGAGTTTGATGGTCTCTGACACTCACTGAATTAAACCGACTTTTATTAGAACGACTTTGAGCGAAGGAAGAAGCGGCACTGATCTGATGCAGCTTCTGTTTAAAGACCAGAGCCGCTCCTTTACTCCACTCACTCAAGTTAAGAAAAACATCCTCCTCCTCCTTTATTTTATTATAAACCATCATATTATTATTCAGTTTTTGAAGTGAAAAAAGTAAAAGTTTGTAAATCAGATTTCACCTTCTCCACGTTTAGAATTTTAACACAAAGATCAAGAATCTCAGACTTCAGGTCATCGCACAAACCACACGAAGAAAGATCCTCCAATAAAGTGATGATCAAACCTCCATGTTTGTTTTTCCAGTGGGACGTGTCTATTGTCAAAGTCGATCTTTTCAAGTCTTTTGAACCATTTCACTTTTGTTTCTGCTTCTGATATTGTCATATTTTAGTTTTGGGATTGGGACGTCGTCATTGTTGTGGTTGTTGGATCCAAACAGCGGAAAACGACTCCACAAATGTGTTTGTGAACTTCATAAATGTAAAAGTGAATCAGATGTGTGTGACTCAAACCTCCGTTCAAACTGTTTCTCTTCCCAACGGAATTGAAAAATAGTGAAAGGTGAAGGTGATGGGCAGGATTGATCCACAGGAAGAACCAAAAAGGAAACATTTGTCTGACTAAAGGTTCAGACCAGAGCGTCAAAAAACATCCTGGACACTTTAATCTGAAGCTTTTTCGACGCTCGTCTTTGTCACTGTGGACGAACAAGAGAAAAATACTTGACATGCGTTTATTGTCCTGGAAACATGTGCCTGGTCCTGGACTTTTCCTGAAACGATGTGAGACCAGACAGAGAGACTTTAGTGTTTTTATCACATAAAACATCAGTGGAGGAGATCAGCTCAACGACTGCAGCGTAAATATATGTAAACTCCACTAATGACACTGGTCCAGTCCCGGTCCAGTCCCGGTCCAGTCCAGTCCAGTCCCGGTCCAGTCCCGGTCCAGACCCGGTCCAGTCCCGGTCCAGTCCCGGTCCAGTCCCGGTCCAGTCCCGGTCCAGACCCGGTCCAGTCCCGGTCCAGTCCCGGTCCAGTCCCGGTCCCGGTCCAGTCCCGGTCCAGTCCCGGTCCAGTCCCGGTCCAGTCCTGGTGATCTTCTCGGTGTTTGTGTTGTGTACATTTGTTTGTGGTTCTGGTTCTCGGGTCTTTCTCTTTCTTCCTGATAATTGCGTCGCTGTGTCTCTGGAGACTCGTCTCTGATTGGTCGACGCGGAGCATCTGACGTGAAAACTTCAGCATTTTCAGTTTTCTGACGCTGACGCCTTGGACGTGTGTCTAAAGCGTCGACGGCAGATTCTCGCCGCGCCGACGCCAGTGGACACGACGCAAAAACACCAGACGCTCCAAACGCACGACCACATGAACTCTGAACAGAAACTGGAGGCTCTGACGCTCTCGTCTGAACCGCACGAAAAAACTCCTCCTGAGTTTGCAGCAAATATTCTGTATGTGGAGCAGCGAGCAACAGGAAGAGGAAGAGGAAGTCGTCATCATGTTTCTAAACGTCTTCCTGGTCTGATGTTTCACAGAAACACAGTTTAATGTTTTTGTTATTATTTCTACTGAAGCTCCTGTGTCCAAATCATCTCCCTGTGGACGAATACAGTTTAAAGACAGAGCAGTCGTACCGAGCATGTCCTCTGACACCGGAGTCCTCAAGATGTCTCCCGTGAACTCACACGCCGTTTTCTTTGCATCGATGCCAGACGTGCCCTCGAACACCTGAAACAAACACACACACACACACACACACACACACACACACACACACACACACACACACACACACACACACACACACACAAACACACACACACACACACACACACACACACAAACACACACACACACACACAAACACACACACACACACACACACACACACACACACACACACACACACACACACACACACACACACACAAACACACACACAAACACACACACACACACACACACACACACACACACACACACACACACACACACACACACACACACACACACACACACACACACACACACACACACACACACACACACACACACACACACACACACACACACACACACACACACACACACACACACACACACACACAACACACACACACACACACACACACACACACACACACACACACACACACACACACACACACACAACACACACACACACACACACACACACACACACACACACACACACACACACACACACACACACACACACACACACACACACACACAACACACACACACACACACACACACACACACACACACACACACACACACACACACACAAAACACACACACACACACACACACACACACACACAAACAACACACACACAAACACACACAAACACACACACAAACACACACACACACACACACACACACACACACACACACACACACACACACACACACACACACACACACACACACACACACACACACACACACACACACACACACACACACACACACACACACACACACACACACACACACACACACACACACACACACACACACACACACACACACACACACACACACACACACACACACACACACACACACACACACACACACACACACACACACACACAACACACACACACACACACACACACACACACACACACACACACACACACACACACACACACACACAAACACACACACACACACACACACACACACACACAAACACAGACACAAACACAGGGGTTAATAAGACCAGGTCCAGTCTAAACGAACATATCTGCACGAGTGTTGTAGTCAAGACCAAGACCAAGACCTGTCCAAGACCTGTCCAAGACCTGTCCAAGACCTGTCCAAGACCACAGGGTCCCAAGACCAGGACAAGACCAAGATCTCAGAGGGTCGAGACTTTTAAAGGTCGAGACCGAAACAAGACCGAGACTTTTAAATGTTTGACAGGGATTTAGCCTCTGCACATTTACCAAAATAAACACAGATTTATTTGCCCCCCACAAAACTTCTGATTGATTCTACACATTTAATGTAAATCTCCTGTTTTGGTTTCAAAACGGTGAATTTGGCTGAAACGTGAGGAGAGATTTTCATGGCTGAATAACAACACAAAATTCAATCCCAAAGCGTCTTTGAACAAACTCCTCACTCCCTCGTCCTGATCTGCTTCACCTGTTTCTGCTTTTAAACACTTTGGAAACGCTAAACCACCGACTTATTAAAACATTCTGTGAATCTTGCGGTCGTGTCGCGGTCGTGTCGTGGTCGTGTCGTGGTCGTGTTGCGGTTGTTTCGCGGTCGTGTTGTGGTCGTGTCGTGGTCGTGTCGTGATGTGTTGCGGTCGTGTTGTCGTGTGCGGTTGCGGTGTTTCGCGGTCGTTGTGGTCGTGTTGTCGGTCGTCGTGGTCGTGTTGCCGTGTTTCGCGGTCGTGTGTGTGGTCGTGTCGGTTGTGGTCGTGTGTTGCGGTTGTTTCGCGGTCGTGTTGTGGTTGTGGTCGTTGTTGTGGTCGTGTTGCGGTTGTTTCGCGGTCGGTGTTGTGGTCGTGGTCGTGGTCGTGTCGTGGTCGTGTTGCGGTTTGTTTTCGCGGTCGTGTGTTGTGGTTGTGGTCGTGTTGTGGTCGTGTTGCGGTTGTTTCGCGGTCGTGTTGTGGTTGTGGTCGTGTTGTGGTCGTGTTGCGGTTGTTTCGCGGTCGTGTTGTGGTCGTGTCGTGGTCGTGTTCGTGTCGTGTTGCGGTTGTTTCGCGTCGTGTTGTGGTTGTGGTCGTGTTGTGGTCGTTGTTGCGGTTGTTTCGCGGTCATGTTGTGGTCGTGTCATGGTCGTGTTGTGGTCGTGTTGCGGTTGTTTCGCGGTCGTGTTGTGGTCGTGTTCGCGGCGGTGTGTTTCGGTTGTTTCGCGGTCGTGTTGTGGTCGTGTTGCGGTTGTTTCGCGGTCGTGTTGTGGTCGTGTCGCGGTCGTTTCGTGGTCGTGTCGTGGTCGTGTCGTGGTCGTGTCGCGGTCGTGTTGCGGTCGTGTGCGTCGTTTCGTGGTCGTGTCGCGGTCGTGTCGTGGATGTGTGTTGTGGTCGTGTCGTGGTCGTGTCGTGGTCGTGTGTCGCGGTCGTGTTGTGGTGCGGTTGTGTTGTGGTCGTGTTGCGGTCGTTTCGCGGTCGTGTTGTGGTCGTGTCGCGGTCGTGTTGTGGTCGTGTGTGTGTCCGTTTGTGTGTGCGGTCGTGTCGCGGTCGTGTTGTGGTTGCGGTCGTTGCTGTCGGTCGGTGTGTTGTGGTCGTGTTGTGTTGTCGCGGTCGTGTTGTGGTTGTGTCGGTCGTGTCGCGGTCGTGTTGTCGGTTGCGGTCGTGTCGTGTCGTGTCGCGGTCGTGTTGGTCGGTTGTTTCGCGGTCGTGTTGTGGTCGTGTCGGCGTCGGTCGTTTGCGGTCGTGTTGTGGTCGTGTCGCGGTCGTGTCGTGGTCGTGTTGTGGTCGTGTTGTGGTTGTGTCGCGGTCGTGTCGTGGTCGTGTTGTGGTTGCGTTCGTGTCGTGGTCGTGTCGCGGTCGTTGTTGCGGTTGTTTCGCGGTCGTGTTGTGGTCGTGTCGGCGGTCGTGTTGTCGTGGTCGTGTTGTGGTCTGTTGTGGTCGTGTCGCGGTCGTGTTGTGGTCGTGTTGCGGTTGTTTCGCGGTCGTGTTGTGGTCGTGTTGCGGTCGTGTCGTGGTCGTGTTGCGGTCGTGTTGTGGTCGTGTCGTGGTCGTGTTGTGGTTGTGGCGCGGTTGTGTTGTGGTCGTGTTGCGGTCGTTTCGCGGTCGTGTTGTGTCGGTCGGTTGTTCGCGGTCGTGTGTGGTCGTGTTCGGTCGTGTCGTGGTCGTGTCGCGGTCGTGTTGTGGTCGTGTGTGGTCGTGTGTGTCGGTTGTGTGGTCGTGTTGCGGTCGTGTCGTGTCGTGTTGTTGTGTTGTGTCGTGTCGTGGTCGTGTTGTGGTTGTCGGTTGTGTTGTGTCGTGTTTGCGGTCGTGTCGTGCGGTCGTGTTGTGGTCGTGTTGCGGTCGTGTTGCGGTCGTGTCGCGGTCGTGAGTTTGGTGGATGTGGTGAGACCTGGAGCACATCCCCTCGCCGCCCGCCCACACCGAGTCTCAAACAAAGTGTGAGTCTGACCTGCACCACGGCTTTGCTCCCGATCACCTCCAGCACCTGCCCGCTCCTCTTGGTCCCGTCAGGGAGCGTCAGGTGCACGATCTCTGCGTAACGAGGGAACTGAAACATACAAACAACTATTAAAACCAATAAAAAGACGGGACTTTCACATCAATGACATCTCAAATCTGGAGACTCCAATTTATTTTGTTAAAAGAAACTGAAGTAATCTGAAGTAATCTGAAGTAATCTGAAGTAATCTGAAGTCTGAAGTAATCTGAAGTAATCTGAAGTAATCTGAAGTAATCTGCTGCCACGTTTACATGATGGTTTTTAATTGTTCTGAATTAAATAGTTTGGAAGTCAAATATTCTGCTTGGAGTTTAAATGGAAATAATAATTCTGAATGAAGTTTTAGATGGAAAACTTGTTAAATCGTCTTTATTTAATGTCTCACTGTTTAACACTGGTTTGTGCCGCTGGATTTATTTTCTCCGTTCAGTCGTTCGTCATTTGATTAATTGGTTGATTTGATTGATCGGTTTATTTGGGTCACAGGTTTATTCTGACATTATTTCACAGTTATATTTAACACACACAGAGTGAAACGGTGTCGGTTGAAGCTCGAGTTTTTGCCTTTTCCCTTTATTCTTTTCTCAGAGCTTCATCTTCATAAACACAGCGAGAGGAAACAAACAAATCAGAAACAGAACAACAAAGTTCTACAGTCCAAACTCAGTCTCATAACTCATGTTTCTGCCCAGAGTGAAACATTTAAACTTCTTTATAAAATGGACGAGACTCGTGCAGTTTGAGGTTTTCTGTTCAGTTGTTCCAGAGCTTCAGCCCTTTAACAGATTTTTGTTCTGAGTTTCTTTTCGATAAATAAGTATGTTTATTTTATTTATTAATAGGGATGTAACAATAACTGAAATATCGTGATATCGTATCGGCAAAAGTCTCACAGTAACATCGAATGACAAGTCCTTTTGCTTAAATGCTTTGTTCTTAATAAAAGTGAATCAAAATAGGGAACTACATTTCCCATGATTCATTTCAGCGCAGACAACATGAAGAAATGTGTTTTTTACTCAAAGTCTTGGGATTCTGATGGAAATAATTCACGCCAAAAATCTTGTCCAAGTATTTTAAAAGTAAAAAAGTGTCCTACGATTCTATAATATCACAATAAATCTGGTACCGTGACGTTTGGATTTTGTTACATCTTTATTTATTTATCAGATTTATTGATTGTAGAACAGCTGAGGCAGAAAAACAGTTTGTATTTTTATTTCATGTTCAGACTTAATTTTATTGATTTTATGTTTTATACATCACAAAACTGTTCTAAGCTTCAGATTTGTCGCTAAAATTTTAAAGTTTTGCGTAAATTATCAATAAGAAAATGCTGTTTAAATGCATCATGTAACTAAAAAAGAATGTTTTGAATCATCGTATTTTTTCCATAAATGGATTTCATTTTTATTCAGACTGAGATGATTTTTCTTCTCATGTGAACGTGGCAGCGACAGACGTGTCGACTCAAATGGAATGGAATGGTTTCTGAGTCAAACTGCGCTCACGAGTCGACGCCTGCAGGGGGAGTTCGGGCAGAAGCGCCTCTGGTCTGCGGCCGAGAGCGTAAACCTGCAGGATTAAGTCGCACATGTGTGAATGAAGTGTTTTTGAGGAGGCCTCTACTTTAGACGGGGACACAGGAGCTTTGACTGTTAATTTCAGCTCTGGTGTTTTGTAAGACGCCTCTTTGTGTTGTAACAGGTTCCAGTTGTTATTCCGGGGCTTTTGTTGGATTTGTGAAGCCTGTAATTTGCGGGTAACCTGAACCCTGCCCTCTGCCGTTGTAAATGTTAAGTTTGTGCAAATCCCTGTTAACCCGCGTTCAGAGCGGGACAGACACCGGACCCCGACGCTTTGTTACCTTCACATTGTCCAGGATGACCAGAGGGCCGTTCACGCCGGAGACGGTGGAGTAGGCTGAGGCACAAAGACAAAAATACACATGTGTTATTCACTCGAAGCAAATGACGGAGAGAAGAGACCTGCCCCGGCGCCCAATCACGGCTAACCTTTAGAAAAACACACGCACGTAAATGTCAATGTTAATGTGCAGAGTGCCACGGGGGACAAGAGTGCACCACGGGCTGCAATATGGAGCGACCGTAATGAGGGACGAGACACACGGAGGACGAGGAACGAGGAACGAGGGGGAGAAAGAGGAAGGAGGAGAGGAAGAGAGGAGAGAGTGAAAGACGGTTTTTCAATATGGACCAGGGGTGAGGGAAAAGACACAGGAAGGAGGAGGAGAACAGAGAGGGAGAGAGGAGAAAGAGGAAAAGAGGAGGAGAGAGGAGGAGAGGGGAGAGGGCAAGATGGTCTTTCAATATGGAGCAGGGATAATGAGGGACAAGACACATGGAGGAAGAGGAGGAGGAAGAGGAAGAGCAGAGTGAGGAGAGAGCAGGATGGCCTTTTAATATGGAGCAGGGATAATGAGGAAGAGGAGGAGAGGAGGAGGAGAGGAGGAGGAGAGGAGGAGGAGAGGACAGGAGACGGGTCCAGACCTTCACCTTTGGGTTCCACAAACACAAGAACAACAAGCTGTAATCAGAGCAGCACAGCAGGCGTGTTGACTGGTCGTGTTCTGGTCGTGTTCTGGTCGTGTTCTGGTCGTGTTCTGGTCGTGTTCTGGTCGTGTTCTGGTCGTGTGTGTGGTTTTATCTCAGTCACAGGAGGGTAACAGGTGGAATGTTAAAGGGTCCGGGCAGGTGCGGGTTTTAACTTTGATATAATCACGAGTTAACGGGCGGGTGCGGTCCTGTACTGCGCAGGTGCGGTCCTGTACTGCGCAGGTGCGGTCCTGTACTGCGCAGGTGCGGTCCTGTACTGCGCAGGTGCGGTCCTGTACTGCGCAGGTGCGGTCCTGTACTGCGCAGGTGCGGGTCTCCAAAAATGGACCCATGCAGGACTCTGACGTAAAGTTAGAAAATTTTGTTAGAAATTTGGTCGACTCTGGAGGCGACGCGCGGAGGCGACGCGCGGAGGCGACGCGCGGAGGCGACGCGCGGAGGCGACCCACGACCATAAATCGTCTTTTCCTCCTGTCGTCCTAAAACACTAAAATAAAACGACTAAACTGCTGAAGACGACACGACTGAACTTTATTTACTTTATTTACTGACGAGTCGTGTTTTCTGACTCTGTCTCCTCCTCCACACTGACGTCAGAACCACAACAAACGAAAAGGAGGATATTAAGGAAGTATCGGGCCGATACCTGATACCAGTATCAGTATCGGTATCAGAGCATCATGTTTACGTCCCTCGCTCTGGTCCCTCTGGTCCCTCTTCACTCTAGTCCCGCTCAGACCCGAGTCCGGCTCAGATCCTGTTAGCGGGTTCAGAGGGCGGGGGGGCTCTTTTTGTCCTCGGCGCCGTAATTGGTTCTAATCCTGGACTTAAACCGGTCTGGGTTTGTTTGGGACGAGCGACCTTTAGCCCCAACCAGAAAAAGAAAGAGAGAGAGGGAGGGAGTGGAGTGTTGGGAACTATTCACCAAAAGTCCACAAAACTCCGACAAAAACGGGAGAGAAAAAGAGGGACCGGGGGGGCGGTGTGCAGAGGGGGGGGTCAGGGCGGTGTGCAGAGGGGGGGTCAGGGCGGTGTGCAGAGGGGGGGTCAGGGCGGTGTGCAGAGGGGGGGTCAGGGCGGTGTGCAGAGGGCTGAGGACACACAGGAGCATCTTCAGGACAATAAAACGTCTCTGACAAAAGCGAGTTCGCCCCAAAAACGTTCCCACAAAACGCCGATGAAAAAGCGACGCAATTAGCTCCAAAAATACAGCTGTGGGGGTCAGAGGAGGCCACAGGGACCGGGGGGACCGGGGGGACCAGAGCAAGAATAAAACCTCAGCGTTTACAGGACTCTACATGAACAGAACACGACAGAAAAATCTACACCACAAAACTGAAATGATTTAAGTAACAAAGATCTAAATCCATCGGCCTCTGTCTGTGTGTAGAAAACTTAACTACAGGGACAGAATTTAAGACGTGTGCATGTTCTTTTACGAGGTCGTTCACATTCCCAATTAAATGTGACGTGTGTGTGATCTCCAGTGTGAACTTCAGGTCACGTTTACACTGAAACATTTCACCGTATCGGAAATGATTTGTGTCCAGACACGTCGTTTCTGCATCTCGTCACGTCACGACGTCACGACGTCACGACGTCACGACGTCACGACGTCACGACGTCACGACGTCACGACGTCACGACGTCACGACGTCACGACGTCACGACGTCACGACGTCACGACGTCACGACGTCACGACGGCGGTAAAAAGGAGGAAGTGGAGCACCGTGTCTGCAGTTGGAGCAGCTGATTTTGAGCCGAGGAAGATGAGTGTGAGTTTTTTCATGGACCAACAACGAGGTTCAGTTAACGAACGTGTCACATGACTCATTTACATAAATTAATGTGTGATAAAAACTGTTGTTTCTTGTGTCTGATGTGGTTCAGTTTGTGTTGGACTAAAGACACAGAGACTCATGAGTGTTCTCCCTGTGTCAGAGGGGTGTTCTCTCTGTGTCAGAGGGGTGTTCTCTCTGTGTCAGAGGGGTGTGTTCTCTCTGTGTCAGAGGAGGGGTGTTCTCTCTCTGTGTGTGTGAGGTGTCAGAGGGGTGTTCTCTCTGTGTCAGATGTGTCAGAGGGGTGTGTCAGATTCTCTCTGTGTGTCAGAGGGGTGTGTGTCAGAGGGGTGTTCTCTCTGTGTGTCAGAGGTGTGTCAGAGGGGTGTTCTCTCTGTGTCAGAGGGGTGTTCTCTCTCTGTGTGTCAGAGGGGTGTCTCTCTGTGTCAGAGGGGTGTTCTCTCTGTGTCAGATCTGTGTGTCAGAGGGGTGTGTGTCAGAGGGGTGTTCTCTCTGTGTCAGAGGGGTGTTCTCTCTGTGTGTGTCTGTGTCAGAGGGGTGTTCTCTCTGTGTGTCAGAGGGGTGTGTGTCAGAGGGGTGTTCTCTCTCTGTGTGTCAGAGGGGTGTGTGTCTCTCTGTGTGTCAGAGGGGTGTTCTCTCTGTGTGTGATCAGAGGGGTGTTCTCTCTGTGTGTCAGAGGGGTGTCTCTGTGTCAGAGGGGTGTTCTCTCTGTGTGTCAGAGGGGTGTGTCAGAGGGGTGTTCTCTCTGTGTCAGAGGGGTGTTCTCTCTGTGTGTGTCAGAGGGGTGTGTGTCAGAGGGGTGTTCTCTCTGTGTCAGAGGGGTGTTCTCTCTGTGTGTGTCAGAGGGGTGTGTGTCTCTCTCTGTGTCAGAGGGGTGTTCTCTCTGTGTCAGAGGGGTGTTTCTCTCTGTGTGTCAGAGGGGTGTGTGTCTCTCTCTGTGTCAGAGGGGTGTTCTCTCTGTCAGATGTGTCAGAGGGGTGTTCTCTCTGTGTCAGAGGGGTGTTCTCTCTGTGTCAGAGGGGTGTCTCTCTGTGTCAGAGGGGTGTTCTCTCTGTGTGTCAGAGGGGTGTTCTCTCTGTGTGTCAGAGACAGAGGGGTGTGTCTCTCTCTGTGTCAGAGGGGTGTTCTCTCTGTGTCAGAGGGGTGTTCTCTCTGTGTGTCAGAGGGGTGTTCTCTCTGTGTCAGAGGGGTGTTCTCTCTGTGTGTCAGAGGGGTGTTCTCTCTGTGTCAGAGGGGTGTTCTCTCTGTGTCAGAGGGGTGTTCTCTCTGCGTCAGAGGGGTGTTCTGCTGATGCTCAGTCTGTTCTGTGTTTCATGGTTCATGTGAAACGTCTCACACATACGTGTGCAGGTGGTGCACACAGACTGTACAGTGGTGCAGTTTTGTATTTGACTAAAGTTGTATTAAAACATTTTGGTGATTCAGTAAAACCATAAACCCTGATCAAAACCTGAGGAGGTTTAACAGTGTCAACGTTTGGACTCAAACCTCGTCACTGGTCGATTTAAGTCGGGATCTGCACCTTCTGCTCCACACAAACAGCTCCTCAGAAAGTATTTAATAAGTTTCAAGTTTTTATTTTATCATTAACACTTAATTTATCACTTTCTACACCTGACTCTTCTAGTCACTTACTGGTTTTTAGTTTTCTGTGGAAATGTCTGGTCTCTCGTTTGGTTTAAGGACCAACTGACAACCAAAGAAACAAGAAAAACTGGTGTTTGTTTAAGACGGTCAGGTTCACAAAACTGACAGAAGTTGTGTGTTAAAGTGATTCAAAAGTGTGGTTAAAAAGCTTCTAATGAAACACTGACTTCTTTTAAAAACATTTTTTCTACTTTAAACAAGACACTGACTCTTGAGAATCTGTGTCTCGACAGCAGATTCCTCTGATCCTGCGCCGGCGTCTGGAGTCTCACATCGGCACTTTTACATCTAAACCAGGTGTAATAAGAAGAGACGTGTCGATATTTTACCTTTAAACGTCGCCGTGGTTGTGTTTTTGTGCACTGGGATCGTCAGAGGAGCGGCTTTTGTCTTTGAGATGAACTGAACACATTAAGCTGCTGTTATTTAGGTACGAGCGTCAAGAGCTTTTAATGTCACTGTTCAAGAAGAGGTTTTCCAAAAGCTTCTGTCTCAGAACGAGGCTCATCAGGTTCATTTTATTTTACCTGTGAATGTGACTAATTCTGTTTTTCTCAGAATCATCAGGAGCCCGAGCTGCTCATGAAGCTCCCATCACGTCTGTTATGTAAGTGCAGCACACGTGTGTATGGGCCGTGTGCACGGGCCGTGTGTACGGGCCGTGTGTACGGGCCGTGTGTACGGGCGTGTGTACGGGCCGTGTGTACGGGGCCGTGTGTACGGGCCGTGTGTACGGGCCGTGTGTACGGGGCTGTGCAAAAACACTGAAATATCCACATATCGTATCGTTTAATGTGATGATACAGTATCGATATCGTGGGCTGTTGTATCGATAAATCACCAAGAGGATTTTTTAATTTATTTTATTCAATTATTTACTTCCAGTTTTGTTGTTTGTTC